TGGGGTAATGATGATGGGTGTGGTTCCTTTGCTAGCGGTGGTCTTTCTCGGGAATATGGCGGTGACAGGCCTGGAAGACATCCCATTGAGCCTAAAGATAGACATCTTTGTCTTCGTGGCGACTTCGTACGCTTTTTACGACTTGCTTCTCCTGCATTGTGCTCAGCGAGAAGCTTCCTGATCTCTGCTTCGCGCACGGATGCGATTAATGGAAATTCTGGTGACCTGCGGTGAGCTCTCCGAGAATATGGGCTTTCCAGCATGGCCTGTAAGATCTCTTCCGATGTTCTTAGCTCTATTTTTGCTGAAGGATATCTATCGGTTGTCTTTAGAATCATGTGGTGCTTGATAAAACCATATTTAGGCTGGCGACGGTGCGTACCAAGAACATCTGGTGTTAAGAATTATGGTAGCTGGTGGGGCTCAAGATAGTCCTCTAGTCCTGAGAGGACAAAAGAAGCTGGTGTCTGAGTATGTTGGACAAAGACGACAATGCCATAACAAAGAGGCTACATTTAGCGGAAGTCTTGAGAAAGAAGCAGCTGAAGGCGGACATGCATCGATTGGGAGTCCGGCGAACAACCATAGGCGGCGATTTGAGGAATCCCGTGTCGGAGCAACGCGCCATGATCTTACCCCGAGCATGCAAATCGCAGAGATGGAGGCTGGGTCGGCACATCCATTTGATGAAGATGCAGACTGACATTAGATCGCGCTGATTACCGAACCAAGCCCGCCAATCTTGCCTGCCCATCTTGTCATCATTTCTACCGCGTCTTTTCTGAGCTCCAAAGTCGGGGCAGAGAAAGCGACTGCCATAACCGGCGCGATACTACGCAACATGTCGAAGCCCGGAGTTTGCGCCCGTTCGATCTCCATTGCAGCCTCTAGGATAGATGTAGCCGCTTTGGTGGCTTCGTCGTAATAATGCGCAGTCGTGTTTTCATAATGCTCCAGCGGCGCGGTTGATTCAGTGTGCATCTTGTACATGAGCATGTTGACGACGAGGCGGTCGGCGATGTAATTCGATGCAATCAGTGCTACGAAAGCATTAGACGACTTTGAAGTAGATGATCCTGGACTGGTTGTTTTCGACGTACCCTTCTCCATGGGTGCAGGTGTTCCACGTGGGCTTCCGGAGATGCTGGCTAGGTGAGGATATGCTAAAGCCCATTGGTCGAGGTCTCTCAAAAGCTTGCATGCCATTTGTTTGGCAGGGCGGACGTCAACATGTGACGGTATAGGGGTTGAGAAAAGCACACGCATTGAGCCGGGTATCTCGAAAGTGGCCATACAAGGAGGAATCTGAAGCTCGATATCTGCAAGACTTTGGTGCGCATCTCGTGGCTTGTCAATGAAAGGTAGTGTCATCCAATCTGGCGAGGAGTAGACCGACGTCCTGTTGAAGACTACACATTTATGCGCCTGATCTCGTTAGCGTAAAGGAAATCATCATACTGATTCTTGCAAGCTCACATCAGAGCTGCGCACGCCCTTGAACAGTGGCCAGATGACACCTGACCCACAGTTGCTCGGCCCGCGCATATTCATTATCTGGGCCGCAGCCGCGATATGAGTCATGGCGCCAGATGCAGTCGCGCCTACATATAGTTCGTACAAGGACATGATGAGAGGTACCAAAACCTCTTCTTCGTCAGGAATAGCGTCCTTCTTCAGTCTTGCTATAGATGTTCTCTGGGCGCTCAGAGCTACAGTATACCTAGAACACGCGCGTACAAAATCAGTATGTGTCTCACATGAAATTCATACAAGGATAGCTCTTACCACCTCCAGGAGTCAACGAGAATGCTCGGATCGTGATGATGTTTTCCGAAGTATGCCATTGAGACTGCCCGGAGAGACAACCGGACCGCAGGCTTTCTGGCGTTGGTGTGAATCTGGTGTATATGGCCGAGCCATTGGATTTCAGGCGCGTACTGACTTCCACCCTTGTTCATCTCAACGTAGTGAGAAAGGAAAGCGGTATCTAGAGCTTCCGGCAAAACTCTTGAGGGCTGATTCATTATGGGAGGCCTGTACTGGTAGCGGATGGCTACTATGGCTTGCTCCACTCTATCAGTATCCCTGGTTGCGGAAGGTGGTGTTGAGTTTGACGACGGTGATGAGGGCTGGCTTGACTTGATTGCGACTTTGCCTTGAGGAAGGATAGGACGCGGGGCTGCTGATGGCTGATCATCCTCGTTCCCACGAATCACCATTGTAGCTCTTGCCGTCTCTTTCTTCTTTCTTCCTCTTGGCTTGGTTACCCGCTCTGTCATGTCGATAACAATGGAGCCCTGAAGGGCCCCAGAGCACGTGAGGCCCAAACGACGACATTGGTTGCATGTCTCTGGTGTTTCGTCGCACTGCGGGACGGATAAGTGCTCAACTTGATGAGTTGTTGAAGGAACACACCTTGACGCGTCTAGATCGGCATTGAGCACAAGCTCTACTTCGTTGGGACTTCGGTGGCATGTCGTCTATATAAGCCCGGGTCGTACAACACGGGAAGTGAAAGAGGGAATTTGAGCGACGTAAACGAGGGAGGGATACAGGGGTAGTCAGTGGTGCAGCACGATAGTGCGGCGCGGTCTCCTTTGTCCATTTTGATTGGTGCTAAGTCATGTTTCGGAGGTACCTTTAGGAAGGCGGGGAAAGCCGTGAGGTAGCCGCGACCCTTCCATAGCGAGTCTAGCACGTGCTGGAAAGGGTCCAAGGTGCATTGGAGCGGCAGAAGATCGCCCTTGTTCTTGTCACGGAATATGGAAATTATCTCCGATCACAGCCTTGCTTTGCTTTGCTTTTGTGCGCATCATCGTGTGATATGAGGATTAAGCCGGAGCAAGTGTATGTAAAAAGTAAACAGTATGACGACACGATGATGAGTTGTTTGTTTTAACTGCACCTTGATTCGTACTAGGAGAATCTGACGCTCTCGCAAAGTCTGTCTGCCGTGATAACGCAGCCATGAGCAACGCGCGAACCTTGAGAGGAGGTTTAATTTCAGACAAATGCCACTCGGCCACTAAAAGAAAATTGTGAAAAGGGTATCGTGTATGGGCAACCTCGTGCCCCATAATCAGTCCGAACTCTTACTCCTTGCCCAACGCAACGATGTCCTTCATTTCTACAACCCAGACACCGTCCTCCTTCTTCCCATCGATACACTGCACTCCGGCATTGACGGCAGCCCTCGCAATCGTACTGGCGTCTTGCGCCCACCAGTCCGTCATCTTAGGTGTCAAGCCCTTCAAGCCCCTTGCAAGACCCCTCAGCGCAGCCTCAGCTGGTCGTGATTCGCTCCTATCTCCAACGATCAGACCTGGGCGCACTATGACCGTGTGCTTGAACCCCAGACCCTTCACAGCTTCCTCCAATTCGCCCTTCATCTTGGGGTAAGCAAAGTATGAGGTGTGGCTTGCGCCGTTGGACGAGATGAGAACGTATGTCTCCACACCAGCTTCTTTGGCGGATTTGGCAAGGTCAAGGTTCAGATCGTGGTCAATCTTGCGCTGGGCTTCGACGCTGCCGACTTGTGCACGTGTCGTACCCAGACCGCTGAAGAAGACCCTAGGTTTCTGCGAAGACGGGAACTGGCTAGGCCATTGTGAGGAGTCGGTCGCGATGATGGGCTGAAGCTTGGTGGAACCTGCGGGGTTTGGGAGGTCGCGGCGCGCATACGCGTGTACGGCGGAGAAGGCGGGATGTGCGAGAAGTTGGGAGAGGATGTTTGCGCCCTAGATGTCCTTGTGAGCATTTCGTGCTGTGTTAGGTCGTTGGGAGAGCGCTGGACGTACGACTAGGCCTGTGCTACCTGCTAGTACTGCGGCTGTCATTTTGTCTGCTGTATTTCTGAATTGCTTAGTAGATGGTGAGTGGATGAGTCTTTCAGTGTGAGTTGCGTGAGTCTGGTCTTATTAGTTGTGATCTACGGGCAATGATCGCACGTAAAGTTTAGTTGCGGCCGTATGCGTATAATTTTGTCCGGGACTCTGATGAGCGATAGCAACGATAAGCCGAGGTGCGTCATCAGAACAGCACTGTGGCGCGTTCGAGAAGCATCACCCAACTGATGGGATTTCACATGTTGAGCGTCTGGTATCGCAGTATGAAAAGTCTTAGGACAGTGTGGTTCGCAAATGTGAAGGAGGTATCGGGACATGTTGGTATGCAGGAACGCAGGCTAGGAGGTGCACAGTGGACCTGGTACCAACACCAGCGCGCGCGCGCGCGCGAGGGAGAGAGGTACATTAACACACTAAATACACGAGTACGATTTCTTCTATTGTTCGGCAATAAGCCGGGTGCGGATCATCTCTTTTTGCAAAGACCTCGACCTCGCGTCAACTTGTCACACCATCGTGGTATCACCTCTGCGCTGTAGCTGCCCTGAGTCATGCCGTCAGCGGCTGCCGACCCTGAAGAATCCGCCAAACATCACACCACTCTCTCACGACCATCAACACAGCCAACTCCTCAGCCAGTCCAGAACCAATAGCAGGTCCCGGAAACAAGCGACTGTTTTCTACAGTGCTTATTTTCGTTTCCAAAAGCGGTTCTTTCAGTCTTGCCTGCATCTTGGTCATCGTTGTTTTCCATGTTCCTGACTTGCCCGGTCTGGTCTGTCAGGCCAGCCGTTCGGGTTGCGGCGTAAGGCTGTGAGGATGATGCGGAGGATGCACATCTCACGCGATGTTCTGGTGGTGCGATCGCGGGTTCTGTGATGAAGCATAGTGTCTGTAAGTTAGTAATGTAGGTTTGATAAATAGAATGTGTTCTTCATGTTGTAGTAGCCATCCAACATTCAGTTCATCACAACAACAGCAACCAACAATACACTCCACACATCTTCACATCGAACCAAAAGCATAGAGATCCATCTTCTCTACTCAATCAATCACACAACAAGAGCATTCTCGATCTGAGCTCATCCTAGCGATACCAATACACCCATCCCAATACTCCAAACCAACCAACACTTCAACCAAACCACCACAACAATGCCTTCAATAACTCAGGCCCGTCTCATGTGGCGCAGCGTCGCCCGCGGCATGGTAGAGCCCCACCCCTTCGCTCGCAACCCCATCACCATGACCCCTCACGCTTGGCGCGCGGCCGACCTTTCCAAGAAAGTCGTAAAGACGAGCACTGTGTAAGTCTCCTCATCTACCTTTCCCTCTCGAATTTCTACTAATTATTATACAGCTTCTTCCCTTTCTATGCAGGTATCCTTGGATGGCCAGTTGCCGCCGCCTGGTGGTTCAACGGAAACATGTGACTCTTCCTAATGGAAGTGCCGAAGCAGGAGAAGAGGAAGGGGCCGAGCAGTAAGGAAGTCGAGGATCTGATATTGAATATGCGGTGGGATGATTGAAAGTTTACCTGCATCGGCATCAGGCTCGGAGTTTGTGGCGTTATAAGCATAGCATTTTCTTTTGTCAAATACCAATCTTATTATGTTCAAACATGCTATATCACACTTTCGTGAATCATTGATTGGTCGCTTTCGTTCATGCACCAAGATACTGGAAATGCCCACTCGTAAACGCTGTACATCCTATAAATCCAACACAATTCTACCCACACCCCGGCTAACACAAGTCAGCATACTACCCGCTTTCTCCTCGTCCAATAATCCGGTTCCCTGGTGTTCCACTCTGCCACCGCAAACGTCTACCCTACATGTCCCACAATTGCCCACCTCACACGAGCTATCGATGTCCATACCCACAGCCTTGAGTGCGTCAAGCAGCGACTCCGTAGCCCCTACCTCCACGGTTTTCCCACTCTGTTTGAGCTCTGCTGTGAATGGATCACCCGACGTAGCTACGGTAAAGGCTTCGATGTGCACAGACGACTCTGGGATACCGTAGGATTTCGCGGTCGCAATAACAGCATCCGAGAGGCGTGTGGGACCGCAAGTGTAAATGTGTGTCTGATGATCGGCCTTTGCGAGTATAGCAGAGATATCTAGACGTTGACCTTTAGATTTGTTGTAGATTGTTGCTTTGGATCCGAGAGCAGCGATCTTGGAGGGGAAGGGCACTTCTTCTGCGACAGCGTAGTGGAGGTGGAAGTCTTGTTTCGATTCCTGAAGGTATGGGAATGCCACCATGAAAGCTGTAATGCCGATACCGCCTGCGATGATGATGTGCTGGTCTGCGTCTTTGGCGAGAGGGAAGCTTGCTCTGATGCGACTGGCCGTAAGTACATCTCCAACCTTGGTCTGCTCGTGGAGGTACTTGGAGCCACCTCGGCTGGTTGGATCTAAAGCAACGCCAATCTCAAAGCGCTTTGAGTTCCCTCCAGTGACGGAATAAGCACGTATTAGATTTCCTCCAAGCTTCAGGATCACATGGCTTCCGGGCTCAACAGGCGGTGGCGCTAGGATATCTTCGATGGAGTCGAAGACAAAGGCTGTGACACTATTCGTCTCCCTCCGCTTCTCGATCAGACGGTATTCTTGCCAAGCATCCATCTTCTCTTCATCGCTACCGAACAACCTGCTGCTATGATCCTCGACGACACCCTGGTCTAGGCGTTTTTGAAATTTGCCCTTGATCTCCCAGCCGAGTTGCGGAAGAGAAACAATCTCCTTCATCATCTCTACGTTATTGGTCTCGTTAAACAGGTAGTACATTACCCTAGCAACCGTCCACTCCGGGTTTGGTCGCTCAAGCAAGGTGATCATATCGCCAGCGGTGACGGTACCTGGTTTGATAATGCGATACAACCAGCCCGTACGTAGCAGCGTCTGCGCACGTTTTGCCATATCTTTGACCTCGAAACGATGGTTGAGCTTGTAGCAAGGCGCTCGTGGCTCGCTGACTTCGACAATGATCCCGCCAATGGCCAACCGATCCCCAATGCACAGGTTCATCTCGCTGACTTCTCTGTTGGATAAGTTTTCGCCAAAAGCACCAGGCTTGAAGTGGTGCTCTGAGGCTGGTAATTGTTTCTTCCATTCATCATAATGTGCCGTGCAGTAGTGAAGAAGCGCCTTGTCTGGGCCGCCATGCAAATGGAACGAATGCTCATCGCTAGGGATACCTGTCTCGCTGATTTCGACAGGACCAGTCAATGGAGCCTTGTGGATAGCCGTCTCAATCTTTCCGTTTCCAAGTGCCTTCTTGACCTTGCCAGACCGCAGTTGGATGAGCGGGAAAGGAGCGAATGGTGGTGGGTTCTTCAAGGTATTGGGGTCTGGTGGTGACGGTGGAATCCATGTTGAGATAGCCATGGTTCAACTTCGAGTATAGTGTATATGGGAGGTTTCGAGATAGATTCAGGTGTCGGATATTAGAGCTTTAGGCCGTATGAGGATTTCCTTCTATGAAATATGACAGATAGCGCCCCGTGCGTATATTGTGATGAAAGATGGTAACAATAGCGGCCTTAGGCACAGGCTCACGGTAGGATGAAAGGCGTATGCACACTTTACGTTGCTTTCATGTCATCCGAGCTAAGCTTGTCCAGGACTCATGCAAGAAAGACCCTTTCGTAGGTTGCGGATTTTACGAGAACAGATCTAGACCTCTCACAACCTATGCTCGATGCAGCAGGCGCATATATGGAAAATGACTATGAGCTAGGAGTTGGCAAGTCTGGAGGAGACCTAGATGCAAAACTTGGTAAGCCGACGGTACGCCCTATATGTAAGAGAACACCGAAAACACCGTGACAATTGCTACCTGGGAAGCCACAGTTTATGACTCAACTAGTGCTGCCGGTACAATCGTGTACCTTCTGAAATGAGAATAGTCAACGAATGGGGTTTATCACATGGTGTTTGACTGGATGATTGCCTATTCACCACGGAAGCTTAATTCAGATAAGACTGTGGACTCCAGATGTGGGAAGAATGGCGGGAATCGGAGATGGGCGCGGCTCCCCGATCCGAACACGTGCGTCAAGCCACCTCAAAGCAACACATCAACGCGTTTAAGAAATATGACGCGTCAGTTGAGGGAAAGTGAAGAGTAAGAGCACTCGACAAGGACAGTGCGGATGTTGGTGGTGCTGTGTATCACGTGAACAGTGGCCTCGGCTGCACCTGGTCGAATTGACGTCAGACTGAGGATCCGTTGACAAGCTTCGAGCTACCACATCAACTCGTCACCGCGATTCCAAAACACGTCAATTGCTGCTCTCCCCGCAATTACTCAACCTCCAACCTTTTTGCATCACGACTCAGCTTTTCGGCGTTCCCAAAATCCACAGCCTATTCCCCACTACCATCACCATGTTCCGCATCCAGCCCGCACGCGCAGTACAACGCGCAACCTTTGCCCGCCCTGCCGTCATCCGCCCTCGTTTCTTCAGCACAATACCAGCACGCTTCGCTCAAAAAGATGCACAAGACAAAGATTCGCTGAAGCCTCGATCGACCGAATACGCAAAGTCTGGCTCTGACGACGGCGCTGCACACTCAGACGCTGCCTTCAACCCCAACAAGACAAGCCCAGAGGAGGCAGAGGCAACAGCTGAGCGCGAGGCTGGTGGCTCTCAGAACAGCTTGAACGTTAGCCCCGGAAACAAGGATGTCAGCGAACCTAACAGCCCCGATGTTGGTGGAAATGGAGGAGCGCCAGACAAGAAGAGCAGTGGCGGAGGCAGCGCGCCCAAGAACAGCACAGGATAGATGTATACATCTCAGGAGGAGGATCCTCCGTAATGAGTGCATATCACAGGCAGTAGTAGAAGAGAGCCGTTGAAGGTAATCAGGGCGCATATGGAGCATCACATCACAGCATGATTGCATTAGGAACAGCTTCTCCAGGCTGACAACTGTATATACCAAACCAATTGGAAAATCTCAATTTCGAAGCGACAAATGACGCGTTATCTGCAGCTTCACCGCATTAGGCATTTGCGTGGAGCAACCTCTGTCTTGAACCCATGCAATGACGTCACAGCATATGACGATGCAGGTGCCCACCAGAACACGGCAACGAGATCCGTCTTTGCGCAACAAAACATCTTCACTTCTCTTCCACCTTACCACCAATCCTCACTTTTTCTCAAACTCAACTACAAACCTCACAATATTTTCCTCCGCCTCAAATACTTCACAATGGCACCACGCACTCTCCTCACAGCAACCCGCTCTCTGCGCGCTCCCATCCCAAGCACGCGCGTCGCCTTCACCGCTCGCCGCACATTCCTCAGCAGTCCCACCCTACGCATCAAAGAGGACGCAGACCGAAGCCCTGAACAGGTCGAGGCCGCAAAGCAAGAACAGCTCAGGGAGCAAGAAAAGGGCGAGGGCAGATGGCGCGAGGACCTTGCCAGTCATGGCGAGAGCAACATTGCTGCGGACAAGCAACAAGTCAACGATCACGACGCGCATATGAAGGAGTTGCAGAAGGAGGGTAAGGAGAAGGGTGAGAAGGGTCAGATGTAAAACCTTTTCAAGAAAGGATGATCGGGGATAATTTTACGACTCGTATAGGTATATAAGCTATTGATGAGATGGTCGGAAGATCTTCTGGAGTATGCGAAGTTGTTTGTTGTATATATCATGTCAGATTCAAGCGCCTAATGGATGAAATGAGATGAACTGCAAGAGTTGAGCAAGAGCAGTACTAGCATGTTGAACGCTGCTACCGCACCATCATCATCATCGGCCCGAAAGCTGTCTTCTTCAACTAACAACAATGTCATCAAAAGTTCACCACGCTAGCCTCCAATACCCCCTCATCTGCAATCAACCTCTTCAACACATCCTCTCCAACGGGCTTATCCACACCCAGAATCATCAGCGCTTCTTTACTCCCCTCTCCTTCACCGTTTTGCTCATTCATTCTTTCCTCTACCTCCTCATCCAGCGGCGCGACATTCATAAACTTGATATTAACACCTGCTTTACCCAGAAGGTTGCCTACATATCCGATCTTACCTACCGAGTCGAAGTTTCGGCATATGAGTAGTGTTCCACGAGGTACGAATTCGCCTTTGAACTTGTCAAGGCGAGAGATGAAGGGTTTGTTTCCAGAGACGAATCCTTGGATGATCTGGTCATCATTGTCGTTTGTGCCTTGTTGAAGGCTGCGTGCAGCGGATGGCGAAACATTCCTCGAGCGGGGTTGTTGACTCACAGAGCGAGACGCGCGGGCACGTAGGGTGATGAAGGAAGAGTAGGGCTTGTCTTCTACGTTTTCGCGCGAACGTTGTTCGTTGATGAGAATACCGCGTTCTTTGGCAAGTAGCTCGGCGTTGACAATGTTGATGTTCAGACCATCGCTTGAGGTAATAGGGGTAAGGAGGCCTTTTACTAAGGCGGCGAAGAGGGGCTTTGTTGTGTTGATTGTGGCAAGCTTGCCTTCATAGATGAGGTCAAATGTTGTGCGGAAGGAACCTGTCTTCGCCGAGGAGTAGTGCTGGGTATAGAGGCTACCCATCTTTTCGACTAGGCTGATGAAAGGTTGAAGGGTTCGGTATTCGTCAGGTAGGACGATTGGTGCGTTGACAGCTGAGCGTGGTAGCTCACCGCTGAGGATGGAGACGACTTGCTCACAGACATCGATCGAGACGTTTTCTTGAGCTTCTTTGGTGGATGCACCAAGATGCGGTGTTGCTACCACCTTTGGATGGGCAATCAAACGTGTAGCTGACGAATTTTGCTCTGGTGGTTCCGAGGTGAACACGTCAATCCCTCTGAACGTAGGTGTACGAAGTCAGTGTATGTATTGCATGAAGTTTGTACAGAGACACTTACGCTCCGGCGATGACGCCAGCGTCCAAAGCTTCAACCAAGGCATCTTCGTCGATCATACCACCTCGCGCTACGTTAAGAATTCTGGCAGTTGGCTTCATCGTCTCTAGTTCTGCTTTACTGATCATGCCTTTGGTTGACGCAATCAGAGGAGTGTGGAGTGTCAGAAAGTCAGCTTCTTCCAAAATCTCAGCGAGACTTGGACGGAGTGTGACCGAGGCTGCTGCTGCTAGGTTTGGGTTTGCATAAGGATCGTACGCAATGAGACGCATGCCTAGGCCATTCGCGATGCGAGCGACCGTGAGTCCAACTGAAAACCCATTAGTCAGATACTTACGAAGTAATGAATTGAACTGACCCTTTCCCAGACCGACAATAGCGAGAGTCTTTCCTTTCGCCTCTACACCAACTAGTCGGCTTCGTTCCCACTTCCCAGCCTTGATACTTTGTGAAGCATCTCCAACGTTGCGAGCTACAGCCATCAATACTATATCACGTTAGCTGATATAATATTGGCGTAGCTTGGAATACCCACGCGCGATAGTGTGTTCCGCCGCGGCATTGATGTTCCCAGAAGGTGAGTTCACTACAATGATACCATGTGAAGTGGCGCTTTGGACATCGACGTTGTCAACACCCACACCGGCACGTGCGACAACTTTCATCTTCTTCGCAGCTTCTAAAAGCTCTGCTGTTACTTTCGTCTCAGAACGCACGATGAGAGCATCATATTCGCCGATGATCTTCTTGAGCTCTTCTGGGGTCAGTCCCTTCTTTTCATCCACGTCAAATTGGTCTTTCAATAATGCTAAGCCATCTGGCGACACTTTCTCGGGTATCAAGATCTTTCGCTTCGTTGTATGCATGAGGATAGCCATGTCGAAGAGCGGCTGCGCTTGTTCTCAAAAACTAGCTAGAATAGAGTGACGAGGCCCACAAAGGGTCTTAGTGAAGGCAAGTAATAGTATTCGATTACTGTAGTTTTAATGTAATACTGCAAGGCAATGCTCTATACTTCTATGAGAAGACAGTATGAGACACAGATGCCAGATCACACAGGAGGAATACACTCCATTTTGTACATCGAAGAGGACACTTGCGCCGCTATCGGTCTTCTGCAGTAGCTTGCGTCAGATAATCTCTTTGTGGTAGCCTTACCTGTTGGCTGTATTTACCCCGCACTCCTTTACCCCACGGGGTGAACGCCGCTGCTGCAGGGTCAATCTCGGGAACTTCTGACTGAAGCCCTTGGAAGCTTGAAATCGGCGATGAAATTGAGCTGGAGAAAGGCAAAAGATCGAAAAGATGGTCATGTAACTCCGTATGTATTGTGTTATCCAATTGTGGTTGGAGCACCGCAAACATTCGCGTCCGTCATCGTACCACGCTGTGCGTAAGTCGCGCAGTGTGGGTAGCTACGTATGGTGTGATCTGCAACGATTGGAGGCTGAACTACTGCTGAGTGGGATATGCACATCACGCGGGTAGTCGGCGCCGCGCATTTACCAATTACTACGTGTCTTGAGCTTCTCGTTCTGCACCACCTCGATCCAGTAGTTATCGGGATCTATGCACATTGTCAGTTGCCATTTTGTACGACGAGTAGATAACAACTTACCTAGGACAAACGCAATGTTCTTCATGCGACCATCAGTGAGCCTCTTCTTCCAGTTGACCTTCTTCTCTTCGAAACGAGCACAAGCGGCGTCCAGGTCATCGACAGCAATGCAGATGTGACCGAATCCTTGCGGCTCATCGTTGCCGTTATGGTACTTGAAGTCGGCATCCTTCTCAGTGCCATAGTTCCATGTAAGTTCGAGTAAGCCTTCGCTGTCCGACACAGGGTTGACGCCATTCGCAGTCGTCTCTGGCGCATCGGCACCGTATCCCAAGAAGTATAGATTGAAGCCAGCGTTTGGGCTCTCTGAAGTGCGCTTGAGCTTCATTCCCATAACGTCTTGATAGAAGCTGAGCGACGCATCCTTATCCTTGACACGGATCATTGTGTGGTTCTGTGGTTATCAGCATGACACAATATAGCCACCGGGGCAAGACTTACCATGCGGTATGAGCCAGTATCCGTGTCCTTGACGTTCTCCGTCTCCTCCAATGGCTTCTGGCCAATCACCTCAACCCAGTAGCCATCAGGGTCGAGCACGAACGCAATGTGGCGCATGCGACCGTCTGTGAGCTTCTTTTGAAACTTGTATCCGGCATCTTCCAGCCTCTGGCATGCTGCCTGTAGATTGTCCACCGAGATGCAGAGGTGGCCGAAGCCCTTGTGAGGCTCTGTGTTGCCATTGCTGATCTTGTAATTTGGGTCGTCTTCGGTGCTGTAGTTGTGCGTCAATTCCACAATGCCCTCGCGATCGGTCCAGTGATTGCCGTGTGAGACGGCCTTAGTGCTGTCGTATGCGAGGAAGTAAAGGTCGAACTTGGCGTCAGGGTTCTTGATCTGGTTGATCTGCTTCATGCCCAGAAACTCATAGAACTGGACTGATCGCTTGGGATCCTTGATCCGGATCCTGGTAATCATGAGTTGCTAGCCAATGACATAGGGAGGGTGCAGGCAATGCCATGCGGGTACTCACATGGAGTGGTTAAGCTTGTACTTGGACGGATCGGTCGCCATGGTTGCTAGTGTTCGAATGAGGAAACTAGGTGTGTTGTTTGACTTGAGTGATCGAAATACAGATGATACAGCTACTCGTGAGGTTCTTATTACTGCTGAGCGTTGAAATAGCATCAGTCGGGCGTTTGTTCTAGTAATCACAGCGCAACTGAGGGGAAAGAGTTTCTGAAGACCAATGACGTCTGCGATCCAATGAGGAGCTGCCAGTTGCCCCTCGTCCGGCATTTACTCGGACATTGGCCCGGTGGGGAATATGATCGCATCTCGTGTGGCCATGAACGACAGTTCACCTTTCAGGTGTGATTCAACCTTTGTCGCGCGCATCCTCTTCAGGGCGGCGGAACGGTCAGGCGTGTGCTAGGTACCAAGGGCTTCGCTATCTTTTAGTTTACACCTTCCTACAAAATTAGCGCTCTGGACGTTTTTGCTATGGCTCTTAGCAAGATGCTTGTGGAAATTGAACCGTACATATTTCCAGAGTCGATTCCCAGTATTAGGCACAACTTAGAATATACAAGCTTTTTAGTGCAAGATTATCAATATCCCCATGTCGCGTGGAATCTATGGCTGGGCGCGAGAGCACGTGCGACGGAAAACAAGGCTCCGGCTTCTGCCCAGGTGGTCATAGCTCTCCCTCTTCGTGAACTTCGTCGTTGAACATCGTCATGCTCAGGAAACTGACACGCGCAACTTCTCTCCTGTGACGTTATTAGTCTTTCCTCGTGCCCTGACGCGTTCCTTACCGTTGCGACGCGTCCCCCTACCTTGGATCCGCCTTTAGTCCCCAGGAAGGCGCAGATCGGTGACCTAGCAGCAGCACGACAGCACGAAAGTAGTTGCGCCAACCATACACCAGGTACGTGGGCACTCTTCCACCTCACCACCATCCATTCATATCGCTCCCAACTGCCGTCACGCGTTAAGCTCGTGTATTGTTACGTATCACGCAAGGACTTGCACACACACATTCCATTTTGCCTTCCTCGCTTTGAACACCCGCTATTATCTTTCCTAATCATGTCGTCAGTACATCTTCCGATGATCAACATCGCCAAAGTGAGCGACTGGCTCACTAACAACACAAACAAATATGTCTGGCCCCAGCTATTGTAAGTCACATGTACCATGTAGTGTTACCCTACTGACATCAATAGCTTGATGTCCCCAAATGGCACACTATTAGCGTACTCGAAGCCAGTGCAGACTAAGGAGCTGCGCGACCAGGCTGCGCTCATATCTATGACTTGGAAAGACCACTGTCAAGGGCGTCAGAAGCCTTCAGTCCGCAACGGAACTACTCAGGATCATTCGCTGAAACCTGCACTGAAGACACTCACTATCGAAACCCCAGACTGCAACATCATAGTACGCCTACTGCAACCAGAACTATTGCTCGTCCTTATCGGCCGGATCGCTCCCAGTAGGAAGCAAGCCTTCAAGATTTCGGCTGAAGGTCAAGGAGACCCACGATACCCAGAGTCTGACGTTCCTAACTCACGCCCTGGCTCAAGTTCTCAGCTACTGCCTGGTGATGCTGCTACTGGTAATTTTGGTGCTGAAGACCGTTTGACGGCTAAAAACAAGGCGCCTTCTCTGCTTAGCAACATGAGTCAACGCGATAAAGACATCAAGGGTGGTGCACTCCATGTTCAGCGTAAACAGCTGGACGCCCTAGCCGAATACGCCTTGAAGGATTTCGCAGCCACCGGGTTTGTGATGCCTGCGGACGCAGATCTACAGTAGGACGAGGATCTAATGTTAGCCGTACGTGCGTTGTAGTCTCAAAGTACTTCGCAAAAACGTCGGCTGACTGTTGCAGATCCGGGCGTCGACTTCTCAGACAATGCTACCAGAACTTCTACAGAAGTACGCCAGGTACTCTTCAATGTTGGCAATGGTGATTCGACTCTGCTCGCTGGGACCCTTGCGCCGTTACACGAAGACAATGGAGAGCCCGAGCAGCCCAGAATCGCTGCTCCGACTGGTCCAAGGAATATGAATGACGGCTCACACGATGCTGACTACAAAGATTTTGCGCGCAATGAGGTCGATCCGGGGTCGAATATAGCTTCATACGACGCCCAAATCTCGAGTAATTACCAGGAGAGTCAGCCACTGCCGCAATTTAGCCCAACACGCTCACAAATCCCGACACCCACTGTGCAGAGGGGGTCAGTTCGTGTTCGATGTTGTCTTAAATCGCAACCAGCCCCATTCACTGTGAAGAGGCTGGCCTTCGGACAGTTCCGACCGCAAGATCCGCGTAGGGCAGAGCTAGATCATATATGGCGGATTACCATTGATGTAGAGAGAAGGCAATGGCAGATGCGGCATGGATAGAGCGCTTTGCAAGCTAAACTCCGAGAAGTGGAGAGGCAGTGGAACCATAGGAAAGTATGGCAGGATATTAGACTTGGTATGCATGTTTGATAAAACGCGATACATCGCCATGCAGCTGCTTGGCTTTGGATTCCAATTATGACAGTTTTGATGCAAGCCTTCACATCGATGAGTTGTAATCACCCGTAACGATATTTGTGCTGTCCTCAGATGGCTGTGGTGAACGCAGTCAGCATTACCAATCACAGTGGGAGGAACTGGATCTAACTTGGACGAACAATGTGGCCGGTCTGTTGACAAACTATATATTACGCTACCCCTACACACTCTCGTCAAGCGGTGCTTCTCCATGGAGTTTGAAGTACCCAGGTTGCAAGTTCTGAAAAACCTGTGTCGGGTCATACCTGTTCGATATAGCTTGCAACCTTGCCATGTTCTCTGCACCGTACCCAGCTACGACAGGCTGATAACCGCTGCTGTATGGCATATAGTAGTAATCGTTATCGACTCCAAGCTCCTTAGCCATAGTCTTGGACACTTGAATATAGTCCTCAGCAGCCTTCATCATCGTTGTGTCGTCGCTAGTCTCGTTCCAAGCCATGTACACCAAGACGTGGAAAAACGGCCCATCTTCAGGGTAGAGACCAAGGGCATTACCGCCATTCTTCTGCATGGCTTCCAGCGCAGGCTTGGAGAACGCCTGGAAAGCAATGTTGACGGAGACGGCGGGGAGAGCAGGTGCGATCTCGAAGAAGTAGTCGGTCATCTTTTGGATGAGCTCGGCGCTCATCTTGAAAGATGCAGACCACATGGAAGTGCGAAACCCAGATGGCATATCGTTACTTCGGTGAGGCGTCAGATCCTCGAGCGTGCTGTTGCTGGTGTTATCTTGCATGAATGGAATGCTGAGGTACTCTTTCGCGATTTCGGGAGGGTTTGCGAGATCGACTGGAACGAAGTATTCCAGTTCGGTGAAAGCGAGCTGATAGGTGTCGTACGTCGTGAAAGAAACGACGTGTGCAAGCTTTGTATCTTTCTCAGCATTGTTGATGGCGTTCTCGAAAGCGGTGATCAATGCTGGCGTGGCACTTGTGTCATGAATGCGCATGCCGCCCCACATGGGAGGCTGTACAACGGTTTCATAGTTGAACGTCGTGACGATACCGAAGTTGTTGCCGCCACCACGCAGGGCCCAGTACAGATCGGGGAAAACTTTCGGGGATGCGTTGACGATAACTCCAGACGCAGTGACGACTTCATAAGAAGCGACATTATCGCAAGCAAGACCGTATTCATTCGTGAGGTCGCTGATGCCTCCACCGAGGGTAAGACCGCCAACGCCAACATGTGCTGCCTACGTCATGTTAGCGCATGTCCAGAAGTACACTTCGCTGATCGAGCGAGCTGAACATACTCGGCCGCCAACCACAGTCAAGTTGTATGGAGTGAGATAGTGGTAAACATCTATCCATCGATTGCCCGGACCAATAGCAACAGTCTTCTTGTCAGCAGAAAGTCTGCGTGTAGTAAAGTCTTTCAGGTCAACTGTGATACCCCCTTGTATACTGGAAGCACCTGGGAAAGCTGCATGTCCGCCACTCTTGACAGCAAACGGACACTGGGTAAGGCGAGATATCAATACTAGTGTTGACACCTCAAGGGCTGCCCTAGGAGTGAAAGTGCAGTACGGCTCAACGGCTAGTTGTTGATTTGACCAATACTCTGCATTCTGACCACTGGCAACCTTCGTCTTACCGAAGACGACCCTGAGTGAGTCACACTATGTGGGAAATTAGCATATGCTGAAGGGAGGCACGGCATCCCTACTTACTGCGATGGAGCAGCCGCTTAGCGAGGATCGGACGACCAAGCCTGCCAATTCAGGAATTGCGGAAACATTAACACCATTGCCAATGAGTGCTTCGGTTACATTGAAGTCGGGTGCTTCAAAGGCATCTTGGGCTAACACTCCTGCGGCCACAGCCAGGGTGCCAGATATGATATTCCCAAAGAGTCTCATGGTGTTTGAAGATAAGAGGCTTTGGAATCAGGTTGACGATGAGGCTCACCCGCCCTTTTACAGTCAACAATTGAGCGCGAATGTAAGTTCATGTACGAGTAAGTAGGCGGCAGCGCTCCTCGGAATGAATACTCCGCATGTACCTAAGGTAGGCTTCTGGCCTACTTCTGCGTCCAGCATCGCTTTAGCTAAACTCCAATTAGTGATCAAATCTTCTTTCTAGCACTTTTACCCAATCGGAGCATGAGGCTCACTCCGTCCAAAGGGTTAGAAGGATGCGAATGGACGCAAGGTGAGGGGCTTCTTCATAAAATTCGAATGCAAGCTGCCGACCCTGCATTAGCATGGGTTGTGGAACACCTAGATCATGTACGTAGGATTTCCTGTCTAGTCTTGGAATGATCAATGACTCTTCGCTATCACAACTTCTGATAGTGCACGATGGAATTCCTTGCAGTCAGGCAATGGGCATGAACTTCTCATGCGCAGTAGTGCCATCGGAACAAAGGGCAGTCGAAAAGGAGCATACTGGCCGATCGAAGGAATCTCATTGAAATGAACTGAGTGGGGGTGAGCAGAGACGATACGGCAGGTGGGAAGGGTGTGCTGTTCGAGGGTCGCGCCGCAATGCCAAGGTGGCGCGGACGCGGGCGATCCGCGTCGTTGGGCCTCGCTTGCAATCTTGCAGCTTCATCCCCAACCGGAACATCGGCTGAATCAACTATCGCCAACAGCGAATTAGTCTATCATTATGATGATCGTACCGGTGTTCAATCGTTGAATGGGGCGGTGACTTGTTGACGGTCGTTGCCTTCCATGTAGTCAGCGGCGTGGTAGTAAATATTGCGGGAATGACTTCTGCGGATGGATTTTTCCGTCACTCATTCTTTCCAGCTTCTGCAATCTGGATTACAGCATGCGTCCACCAACAACGCCCACGATTTGTAACTCTGCCAAAACATGTTACGCCTCAGTCAGATGAGAGTGGCACAAGTGGAAACGCAAGTAATGCAAGCCTTCAGAAACTTCGATAGCCGCCTTCAATATACCTAGCATGCACAAACACATGGGGATCTGGTGTCGTCCTGATACACTACCCTAAAAGGAACACTTGCCGAGTGATCCAGATGATATACCTGAAATCTCACGAATAAGAGCACTGTGATTTAGCGCGCGCGGCACAGCGCCTATAGATCTGAGCGGTTCGGAGCGTCTACCGCAAGGTCTACGCAGTTTCCGTTGTGGCACTGCGTCGGAGACGGGATCGCCTTGGTCATAACGTCATCTACCGACACTGTGGATTGTCAAGTCTTTTTGCCGATGCAGGATGAACCGAAATGGTACAACAAAAACCCAGATTCAGTGAATGATATACACCACAGTCGCGTCGTTCTAGAGCCTTGTCGTTTCCGCTACATCTCCCATCTTCATCGTCTCAAATGGATTAGTCACCTTTTCTCTCTCGTTCGCTTTTACCAAAACACCCGAAGTCCCGTTGCACACCTGCCACCATGACAGACGCCCCAATGCCTAATGGTAACAGTGAGGGAGTCAAGAAGTCTAGCAATTCATTCTCGCAGACCACTGTACTCACAGTTGGATATGTCGCCGTCTCGGTCGTATCAGCTGTCATGATAGCTCGTATAGTGCTATACGTGACGGGGCCGAAAAGGCTAGGAGCAGAAGATTATTGCGTCTTTCTGGCGTACGCTTTTTTCGTCTCTCAATGCGCACTCTACATCACCATCGCACCCTTATCGGATCGGGACATGGCTGTACAAGAGGGAAGAGCGCCCTACTATCCAGCATTAATCGACGAAGGCTTCTTACTGGGGAGGCTCTATTTTCCAGCTCTTATCATTTTCTGGATCATCCTTTGGCTAGTCAAATTTGGACTGCTGCTCTTGTACAGGAAGCTTCTCGTCGGACTGCCACGTATCTACAACAGGATTTGGTGGTCTATTGTGGTTTTTTGCGCTATCGTAAGTTTTTGCACAGCATTATCCGTATTGCTTCGAACACTCACTTCATACGAGCAGACCCAAATAGGAAACTACGTTTGTTATTTCCTGTCTTGCGAGACCGTAAAAGGTTTCTTCAACGGTGGTTGCCACGACAGAGTTCGCCAATTCATGAGCGTCTGGTATTCATATGCTGCTGACACGCTGACCAACATCATGAGTACGCCACAGCCACTTCTACGTATTGATCTATCACGTACACTGATCCTTTACCATACAGTCATCGCATTCCCCATGCACCTAACATGGAATCTACAACTGCCGCGAGGACAAAAGATTGGGTAGGTCATGAACTACAACCTCTTTCAAGTAAATACAGCTAAAACCTACGCAGTACGAACTTCTGCTTAGACTCTCGAAGGACCCTTACTCTGCGCTTTTTGCAAACGTCGTAGAAACTGACGATCATTCCAGGTATTCATGCACTTTTCGCCAGTGCCGTGCTTTGCATTTTCATTTCCACACTCCGTGCCGCACAGATAACAGCGAACACGATCAGAACAGACGCTGATACTGATGGCACCTGGCTTGCAGTGTGGGGTATGGCTGAATGCGCCGTCGGTACGTCCGTTGTCTTTCGTTCTTGCTGCTCGCCTTACCACGCCCTACAGCTGTCAGCGAGGGTATCGCTAAAATTTCGAAAGCTGTAGTTATTGGCCTTACACCTTCCTTCGCCGTCCTTGTACGTGCAGGTCGAAATGCTCTGAAGAAGCCCGACCACATGCAACAAGAAGGACAAGGAATCGAGCTTACGACAATTGGTGGTTCTAGTGGGTCAGGCAACCGCCACAAGAAAAGGCCTTTGGAGACATGGAGAATAGTCAATGACAGCCAGGAAGAACTTGCGACAAGGCAAGATGCGGCGTCGGTGACGACCAGTACACATCATGATGAGGAAAGCCTAGGCATTGCGCGATGAGCTTGATCATGCCCTGGTCATACGCTCGAGAGTTCCAAGGCGCGAGGTGCGGATTATACAGGAAGAGTTACGTTGCGGCGATATCGAACCGGCATCACTAGCCAGATGTTCGCCTCATTTGTAGTCTTCAATGATAAAACATACTGTGGAATATGCCCTGATGAGTTGAGAATAGCACATGAGTGGGTGCAGGATGTGGCCAAGAAGCACTCTTAGTCTGAAAAAACACAATACGTTGGTATTGAGTTGAAGGCATCCGTACATCCATCTTTTATCCGTAGTTAATTGTCATAGGTACCACCATCCACGTCCAAGAGTTTCGCGACGAAGCTGGCAATCGAGCTCGTGGTTACCTGTCTGTTGTGATTGATCTGGATAGGAAACATGCGCTGTGGAGCGTCGTGGTTGCTGTCGAGTTTTGGGCTGTATACACACTTGGAGTTCTTATGTGCTCCGTGGGAAGCAGCGGCGTTGCCGACTGGTCTTTGTGGCCTTTTAGCTGACACTTCCATGCGAGCAGTCAGCATGGAAAACGAAAACTTCGATGGATAAATGTAACAGTCTGAACGTCTTTGGGTGTGCTCTATCAGTGAACTTCTTTTCTTAGCCACGGTTCCCTTGCGAAGTTGATAGTGGCTTGAGGCTGAAACCCTTATGCAAAGGGAGGCAGGCGCGGAGTTAGCCCGAGGTCAGCCGAGCGCCTGCCCTTATCGATACCCAACCTGGGCTTCCCAAAGCACGCCTCTGCTCCCCCGCAATTCTCACAAACTCAACGTAGTATTTGCATCAACGCAAGAACCCAACCCTGACCTACTTACGCTACTGAGAAATTGAATACTGTACGATGAAGCCTTTATGGAACCTTGTTGAAGACATTAGCTGCATATTTGACAGACTCTTCCGCATTCCAACTTAGTAGGACAATGACATAAGCACCATTGTGCCCACTCTGCAAGCATCTGGTAACAGCGACCACCTGCGAACGTAATGTCCAAATTCTCAGAGGTGGGCGCTTCGGAAGGTCAACCTCGAGCAGTGGCAGAGACTTATCCATTCGGCCCCAGCACGCGCCAGGATATATAGGTAGTTCACGATCATATTGTGTATATTTCGGCATGTAGACAGCTATGCCGACGTCACATACCTTCGCTGTCGTCTATTTCATACCGAAACTATGCCTCATGAAGTCGCCAAGAGCAAGAGCGGAGCCTCAAGCGGAGAACTAGGCAAGACCTAGGTTTATCCACCAATCGACCTTGGGCTTCACATCATGCAACAAAACTACCTACACCAGCCCATCAACTCCTACAAAGATACATTCACTTCCCAAGGTTGAAACCATCTACCTACATATCTTCTGCAGGTTGCACACATCAACATGCCCACCAATGCGCTTATCGACTCGCTGAAGAGCGCCAAGCTCCTCCCTTCCGCTATTATTCCAGAGTCCTTCACCCCCGCCCTGGACCTCAGCATCAAGTTCTCCTCCGGACTGGCTCCCGAATATGGAAGTCTCGCTCGCGTGAGCCAGGTCAAGGAGCAACCTATTATCTCCATCTCTTCGCCGCCAACATCTTCTGCCGCGACCTACACATTCATGATGATTGACCCAGATGCGCCGACCCCAGATGACCCGAAGTTTGGTTACTGGCGCCACTGGGTCGTCGCCGCTATCCCTTCTCCGTCAGCGACAACGTCTCCAGACGACATCACCACGAGAGGAAAGACGTTGACGCAATACTTGGCACCCGGCCCGAAGGACGAGAGCGGACCGCATCGGTATCTGTTCCTCCTCTTTGAAGAGAGCGCGGGCGAGAGCTTGGAGAAGGCAGATGTTGGAGGAGAGGAATTTGTAGAGAGGAGAAGCTTCAGAGCAGAGGAATTGGCGGCAAAGAAGGGGTTGAAGTTGGTTGGAGTGCAGTGGATGAGAGGAGTTGGTGATGGGTGGAAGGGAGAGAAAGACGAACTATAGGAAATTCTGACTATTCAACTAGGAAACATTCTCTTTCGATAGATATCCCACATATAACTCTATTCTTGCATGTCCTTATCAGCGAAACTTGCAGTGGTAACTTCACTTGCTTCATGGGAATATCGAACCTGAGCCAAGACGATCTTTGGATGCACGCACATCTTCACAACACTGACAAAGGCCGACTACGGAATGGGCGAGCTACCAGGAATGGCACACCTCACCACTCTTTAGAGTTCGATCCGGAAACGCGTCGTAGGGGCCAGGCTGTTAACGAAAATACACACTTCTGTGCAGTAGAACCAGAGCCGCACAAGCCTACCCGGAGCATGGTTCCTGCAGGACGACTTCAAAACCATAGCCGCGACCTCTTCCTTGGGATCAAGGCAAACGCACACAGCTCGAGTGGGAATATTGTTGCTAGTTCGTTAGGCATGGATCTGACCGCCGTGCAGCGTGGCCTTCAGTCAGCAAAGCGCGCTCCTCGTTATCACATGCCCCTCCCAAACGACAAACAAAGGCGAGATCATCTGTACAGCAAGCTGGATGCCCATCCCTCACTTCATGGGTCTGAGAGGCCTCTTCGAGAGTCAAGCGTCTTCAGCTCCACCTACTCAGCCTCTGATCACACAGACACGACCCAATCTCCGGTAGCATTGCCTCCCGTTGTGTCCGCAAACAATTGGGATCCCGCGATTTCACCTCAAACAGCTTCACCTACTGCATAACATCCGCGTTAGCAAGCACCAGTACTATCAATGCATGAATCGCAGAAGGATATACGTTCCAAGGGCAAGAAGGTCAACACTACTAGTGTAGATCGAGTGAGACGCAGTTCGCGTGCTGATACAAACCGCCAGTCCGGTTATGTTATCAACCAGCGTTCGACAATGGCGCAGAACGCACAGAAGCAGCATAGTGGGACTGCTCTTAATCTCTCAAACTTCAACGCACAAGAGCTGAATCAGACCTTCAATCTCAGCCATAACACACCAAGCCCCACACCGAGCGCGGACGGGAAGCACCTTGAGGGAAGTGGCACGCGTCGTGACCAATCAGATTGAGCTGTCTCTGATAGAGGTAGAAGATGTTGATGGTAAGCTTGATCGACTGCACATGCATCGATGGTTGTGATTCATTAGAAAGCTTGATGATATATCACGACATACCAGTGAGGAGGAGTTGCCCTCTTCTTAGTCACATCTCAATACAACACACCTTACTCCTATAAACCATATCATGTCTTAAGATATGAACGTTCTCCCTCTTTCGACAAGAGAATTCAACAACGAACGATTGAAATCCCATTTCCTATAGATACTACAGAAGACACTGTTTCGCGACATAATGCTCCAATATATAGTAAACGGTAACGCTCTTTACAACTACATTACATACAGCGCCCTCTATCTTCTTCCGGTCGACAACTCCTTTCCCTGGCTCGAAGACTCTCATCGCGAGCCCCACTCGGCTTTTTTTCGTGTGATTCGCGATCGCGATATCTTAGTGTATCTCGTGAGGGAAGTCGATCGCGTCTTGGACTACGAGATCGGCCGTCTCGACGTCGTTCTTGGTGAGCATCATGTCTAACTGTCCCATTTTGCATGCCTACCGAGGGCGCAGGACTATGCCTGCTTTCCATTGATGGTGGTGGGAGCATGCTCGAATGTTGAGATATGATTGGAGATGGCTGCTTGTCGTTGTGACGATTAATCGGGTGGCTCTCATGAGCCGGAAGATTGTTATAGTCGGCGTGATGTTCTCTGGAACTGCATGGCTGCGGTACACTCTGCTGATCACGAGTGCTTGGTGCTAGATATCCGAGGTGGTCTTGAATGATATCACTCCCTCTGCTTTGGTGACGCCGTCTGGATCGCCGGCTATCATGAAGGTTTGCACGCTTTGTTGATTGACGGTTTCCAGGGCTTTGCGCATCAACCATACTTGCTTGCGAACTGCTTTCGACGCTGTGTCTCCAGCTCAAGACCTCGCGTCGTTGCCTTTCTGCCCTTTTCTGTCGACCAGAGTCCAACTCCGGCATAGCTGACAGTATATCCTTTATATCATTATTACTAGGATGAGCCCTCTTGCGTCTTTCTTTGTCTTTCGAACCACTATCTCTCGTTGGGTTTTCATCGTCTCCTTCAGAATCGTCATTTGGCACCAATCGCCCTGCATCTCGCCAAACTTTGACTAATATCTTATCGACGTCTGCCCAAGCCTTACGCCATCTGTTGAGACCATGCACAAGGTTTCGTTCACCTGTTGTTAAGTTTTCTTCGAGAATAGCTTGACTAGCCTTAAGCCGCTCGACGTTCTGGGATAAGGTCTCCAATATCTTCTTCTGCGACACGGTTGGTTCTTTGTTCAATATGATCTCCGAACGTTTGACACTCAAGCGGTGTTTGAATGATTCAAGAGTCCCGGCGATGTCAGCTTGCTGCATAAGCTTCCGGCGCCTCCATTTCTGAGCATCTTGTAGTGCAGATCTGTAACCACATCCTATAGCGAGGGCTGTCTGGATCTTACCCTCGAGCTCCTCTGTCAGTACAAGGACAGAAGTTTTGCTTCCGCCATCTCGTGAGTTTGCAAGGCGCGGCTGCAGACCGCCCGTAGCTGAGCTACTGGCAGTTCGAACGACCCATGTTTCACGGGCTCTTTCCGAGAAAGTCGAATCTAGTTCTGCATTATCGTACATGACTTTTACTTGGTGGAAGAGAGTTTCCTCTTTTTACGAGCAGTTGCGCGAACTATCTGTGACTTTAAGTGGGATGATCAAGCCAGCATGACCCTTTGACATCAGTGTCGCTTTGTATAACAAAGACAAAGACGGCGTTTATGATATCAAGTACGCTATACCCAGCTTGCTCTCATGAAAGACTTTACTGGGAACAACATCAGATTTGCCCTTTTCATATGAGACATTGGAGCCCATGAAGCTGTTTGAGGCTTGTTGAGTAGATCTGAACACGCTCGAAGCATATGGAGATCATCAGGTTTGTGATGAATGCTGATGTACATCGTATGCATACCATCAGACTGACAGATACAACCACTAAAAAATCATACACCATTCACTTACTCGTATCATAATTCTCTCTTGGTCAATCGAGTGCCATGGTAGGAAGCCCATGACTATGGTGAATTGGTCTTCTGTGGAAGCCTAGGGTTCTTGCTGCCGACGGACCTGTTGTGTGTTACTGCACTTCGACCTTGCATTACATACACTTCTGCTCTCTTTCAGCCTACCTCTAGTAACGCCACTACACAACCACTTCCTTGATTGGGCATTTAACGCGATCTCAACCGCTTTATCATAGGGACGACTCGCTAATACCAGTTTACCAACAATGACTGGCCATCGTGACGAAGGTAGCACCTGGTATCTCCACTAATTTATACACTTTGCTAATTGTAGTAGAGGAAGAGCATTCACGCCGATCACAAGAAACTCCCAAGAGGCGTTTTGCGTCGCTCCCCAACGACGACCCCTTGCCACTTCAGCGCGAACAAGCAGAGAACAGCGACTCAGATACCTCGACAAGGGAACCGACAAATCCGGCTCTTTCCAATCTGCCAGATGCTACAACCCCTCAAGGAAAAGATCATTTGCCTGAGCCACACTCCTCTCAACAAGAGCGCGTGTCGGTTGTCGATGACCAAGAGGGAAGTCACACAGCTGTAAATTGCTCGCAATCTCCACCATCTCCACGAGAAGAGCGTAGCCCTGCTCGTGATGGCCTTGAGGACACAACGCATCGCCCCTCTGTCCCACAACAGCTGCAATCTGCAGTCGTTACTGACATATCCCCCAACAAGGGACAGGAGTTGCTCGCAGAGTACGCAAGATTACGCCGACTGCCCATTCTCAGTATCGACCCAAACACATACGATGGTCAACTTCAGTTCTTGGCCATGATGCAAGATTTCGCTTCATGGATGGCTTCCAACAGTGGCAGCATACAGCGCGGAAATCTCGGTCTTGAAATACCTCATCTTGCAGCAGTATTTTACCCCCAGTACGAAGGATTAAACACAATGATAATGTCTAAATGGTCGACTCAGGTCCCCAACCCGATACAAGGTCGCTTGGATCATGTCTTCAGTTCCGGAGACATGTTCTGGTTCCGCACTTCCGAATATGCGACGAATCCCAAACAGCAGTTGGGCGATAAATGTGGGTTAACTGCTCGTGGACTCATGCTTTCAGGCTGGAGACTTATCTTAGTCCTGAAGGTCCTCCCGAATGTGCTACTATGCACCTGGGGCCGAACTACTGGGGACAGTGATTTGAGTAAGACAAATCGCAGGGATCGATGGCAGTTTGCACGATTGCTGCGATCTGACCGTAGGAATTGGCCGAGATATATCGAAGCCAAAGACAGCCCCCATGGAAATATCTTCATGGATCCGACAAATGCGAGAGACTGGCCAGTACAGGACTTGAAGGACCATTGTAACTTCAATGTGCTTGTAAGTCAAGAAGTCATCCCCACCGACGGTTTCAAATATGCGGGCAGACTCGAAGACGAAAGTCACAATAGCGTTGAATGGATTCGCAACGCCTTTTACTTCGGGATTGCAGTCATGCCTGAAGCCCCAACGGGGGTCAACGTGACCGCAGTGCAGCGCGGAATAGCAGACATCAGGACGCCTAGATCCCCACCCAGCGTACCAAAACGAGTAAGGCGAGATTTCTTTCCCACAGCAGACAAGATGTTACCTCTCTCCCCATACATTCCACCGCCTGCAGGGCATGCCCCTGTGTATAAAGACCTCACCGCTACTCCCCGCGTTCCTAGGGGTCCTCGCGGCGCAACTGAGGTGCGGTTCGAACGCGATCGGAACAATAGTGCTGGAAGGAGGTTTTCTGCTCGTTCTACGTATGGTCAGGATCCTGATCGGCAACGTGGTCGGTCGAGAAGTCGATCACCGCGCGATCGTCAGAACGGTCGATTTCGAGACTATTCTCGAAGAAGGTCACCGCCTCCTCAACATCGCTCCGAAACCCTTGAAAGGCGTGGATGACCAGAAACACGTGACGAGACTAACCACCGGTCAGAAGACTACGACCGATCTCAATCTCGACATCAGCGTTCGCCGACACGTCGATTCGAACAGCCTCCTGACTTGCGTCTTGATAATTACATCAATAAACCTACGTTGAACGCGTACGGGTTGGTCGAAGCCAATGCCGTCAAGTATGATGACCACGATGGCGATCGCCTGCTCAATTATAACGCGAATTGTCAGCCGAGCAACCGCGATCGCAACCGCGGTCGTGGACAAGGTGACTACCATGAGACCAATCGTGGTCCAGGAGAACGCAGGCCGGGTGGCGGCAGAGGACGCGGTGGTCGTCGTCGTTAATTGGGCGCAGACAAACCTCTTGTTCGCTCCGCACATCATTTAGCCTCTAGTTATGTAGCCATTCTGTATTCAATCGACGAGCAATATAGGGTGTGTTCGGTCCCTGTAGGTGAGAATGGAGCCCATGCGTATTCCATTCCTGAGACGACTAGAGATTCCTCTTGGGAATCGCGGTGGGAATCGCTGAGCTTTTCATGATGTGAAGGAGTATCGTTCGGTCGGGCGTAGCGAGTGTATTAAGGTATCGGTGTGGGAAATAAAGGACGGTCGTGACGTAAGCTGATGGCTCTTAGACGGTCTGGCTACAGTAATACCGTAGGCTTTGTTGTATCCAATCTTGGCTTGAAATCCGTATTGTCCATAACACTGAGAGCTTGTAGTCCCATACTCTTTCGTCTCTCTTTACATGGTGCACTTGTGATTCAAGCGTGCTGGCTGACCGTGCAGCGCGTGCATCAGTATCGTGAATTCGCTTGCGACAGGTAGTGCCATGCACAAGACTCGTGGGCTTCGAGCGCGACGGTATGCTAGCCGTCAACAGACAAAGAAGAGTGAAGTGTCGAGTGGACGCATCTTGAGCTAATCCGAAAGCGACATGCAAAACACGCTAAGTACGCGTCGTGACATCACTAACGACTATTAGTCTTCATTGCGAGTCTCCAATAGAATCTCGTTTTAGCAGTAACACCATCGCAACACATGTTAACTTTTTGTAAGAACCACTTTCGATCACATCAGTGGCTACGACTCATCCGAAAACTATAATCCTTATCGCATTCGGTCATCTATCTAGGGTTGACATGTTTAAGCTCTCACCAGTTCCGCAGCCAGGCTTAAAGAAGTCGCGAATGGACAGTCTACTAGATCCCGGCGTCTGTCCTGCAACGCGTTGCATACCCGATTCTCCCTGTACGCACCCGACAGCCGTATGTTCGAGAGTTGACGTTCGACTATCGCTGGCTATCCAGGGTGACATTTTCTGTAACTTCCTTTCACTTAGGGTTCGGTCAATTCGCTTCCGCTTGCTGCCATTAGGATGACAACTATGAGCTTCAGGAAATTGTTGGGGTTGCGTATTCCCGCTGTCATACTGTAACGCCAGTTTTCGAAGGCCGTCCTGGAACTCTTGAGCCTGTTGTGAGATTGGTGCGATATCCGGGAAAGCTTTGCCTGCTGTACTCGCCCCACTATCGTCGATAGTCACTGCGCTATCCAACTGCCCAATACAATCTGCAATACTAGCTGATGGCGCAACTCCAAAACTGACGACCTCAACATCTTCGTCTCGATTGCCGCCCGTTATGGGCAAGTATTGCGCCGGTTTTGTAACATCCAGAAACCCTTGGAGAATCTTGCTAGTATCGCACATGGAATCCGCCAAACGATTCAATTCCGCACCGGAAGCAGCCGAGCGAGCTGGCGAGACGGTCATGTCTCTGTACCGGCGGTCGTCGCTCCACCTTGAGAAGGACTGAGAGCGAGAACGCGATCGCCCACGATCCCGCCGGCTTGATCGCGCCTGTCGATGTACATGTGCGCTAGGCTCGCGCCTACGATCTCTGACCCTACTGTTCTGACTTCTCGAACGAGGGCGAGACGCAGAGTGATGAGATCGCGTACAGCCTCGTCCATGCGCATGTGAACGATGGTTTGCACTACGTGATCTGGCTTCTAGCCTCTGATTTTGATCACAGTTCCGACGTCTTGGACTTCGAGATGTGGAGTGGCACTGCAATTCTCCGTCTATGGAGACTGAGGCACTTCGCGCGTATGTCTGCCCATGCCGGGATTCGTTGACTCTCCCTGCGAGCACCCATAGACGATCGAGTTCCTGCTGTACTGCAAACCAGGCGTTGCTCCATCTCTCTTTGGCCAACTTCACTGTATCTTCGTGCGTCTGACGCTGGCGTTGGTTCCATTCTTGCGTTTTCTGACATTTCATGCGTTCTTCAAGAAGCTTTACAAGCTCGACCAGAGTTGCTAACAATCAATCCAAACTGATGAGACTGACTGACTGACTGATTGCTTGGCAGTCAGTTCAGTGTCAGTTTAGAGCTCTCGTCTTATCAGTCAGTTCAGTTTAGAGCTCTTAAACT